GTATTCCCGCTAAGTTATTAAAAGAAACAGCGGACGTTATTGCACCTTCTTTGTGCACACTCTTCAATAAGTCAATTTCCTCGGGATCATTACCAGACGAGTGAAAAACAGCCAACATAGTACCGATACACAAAAAGGGTGACAACGAACTCGCCGAGAACTACCGTCCTATTTCCCTACTGTGCATTATCTGGAAGGTTTTAGAACGCTGTGTGCTAAATAACGTCAAATACCGTTTACTAGAAGCAGTCAACATCTGTGAACATGGGTTTATATCCGGACGATCTTGTGTGACTAACCTGATTGATGCCCTCAACTACGTTGGGTCATGCCTGGATCGTGGTGGACAAATTGATATGATTTACATGGACATGTCCAAAGCTTTCGATAAGGTCAACCATGATGTACTGATCCAAAAGCTGCGTAACGACTATGGTTTTGGAGGCAACCTGCTCAGATGGTTCCGCTCATATCTGACAAATCGCAAACAGCGCGTAACAGTGTTCGGAGCTACGTCAAACCCTTTGTCTGTAACTTTTGGAGTGTCACAAGATTCTATCCTTGGCCCAGCATTGTTTCTCTTGTACGTCAACGATCTGCCGAGTACAGTTAAATCAAGTCAAGTTGTAATGTTCGCGGATGACACGAAACTCTTTAAAGAAATACGAACGGAAAACGATGCAAAACAACTACAGAACGACATTAGTAACCTCGAATCTTGGTTAACCACTTCAGGCTTATCATTTAATGGAACTAAATGCAAAGCACAGACAGTTACTCGTAAGCTTAAACCGATCACTACCAGCTACACAATGAAAGATTGTCAGTTAACATCTACCAAAAATGAGCGTGACCTTGGTGTATGGATATCTACCGACTTAAGATGGAACAAACAAGTGAACCAACAGTGTGCTCACGCAAACAAAGAGCTAAGTTACATTAGGAGAAACACACGGACAATCCACAACACAACAACAAGGCGAACGATCTACCTAGCTCTCGTACGTTCACATCTCGGTTACGCGACCCAAGTATGGACACCTCAGTCGGTTGAATTACTGACGAAAGTAGAAAGAACTCAACGACGTGCGACAAAATGCATCCTTAACCTGCTATTTACTTGTTTTGTTAACTATACATCCAGACTGCAGGCTCTCCAACTACTTCCAATATGCTACTGGCACGAGTATCTTGATATGGTGTACTTTTTCAAAGTAATCCACGGCTTAACAAACTCGTCCTTTGTTATACGTAAGAAAACGAGACTGAACACAAGAGCTTCTAACAACACCAATACAGCGAAGTACGAATTACCGCAATGCAGAACAACGACTTTCCAAAAATCTTTTTGGACTAGAACAATCAGAACTTGGAACACTTTAACGGACACGTTAGACTTAAGTATGGAAAACCTGGGCACGTTTAAGTCAGTAATGCACAGATATTATTTTGCCGCATTGGAGAAAGCGTACGAATGTGATGATCCAAGAATATTTAAAACTATCTGCCCGAAATGCAACAGTGCAAGAACGTTAACCGAACCAGTGAACTGCTGTTTTTAGGCGTTTTAATTGTATATATGTTTGTGTTTTAATCTTTTGGGCCCACAGTAATTGGCTTTTCAGGCAGTTGTGGTTACCCAGCCATCAGTTTAGTGTGTTTGTATTTGTGTTTGTGTTTGCGTTGTGTGGGTGCGTATGTGTTTATGTCTATATCACACAATGATGGAAAAGCAATTAAATTAAATTAAATTAAATTTCAGAAGCAATCCACTTTTTTACTACGCCTTGTGGAATCCATTAGGTTTTCGATCATGAATGACGGACTGCAATGGGGCAAATATTACTGCCACTAAAATCGCCGGTTCCAAATAGATATTTGGCTTATTATTACTTTTGTGAAAAGAACATACATGATTCATAAAAAAAAAGTTACATGTTCTGTAGACTTTCGCACGACTTCGGTGCAAAGTTAGAAATATTGCAAATATCCGTCCTAATCATGAGCGCCATTTTGGATTCCTGAACATTTCTAGTATATTAGAGGATAAGCAAAAAATAAGACAATTTTCAAGAAATGACTGTTTAAACAAGAATCAGAATACATCAAGGAAGTTATTGATATATTATGAAGCCAAACGAAATTTGAGTCAGAATTTGCTGGGCCGTTCTTGCAAACAATGCCTCTTAAGGCCTGTTTCAAACGTCGCGCTTCTCATGTGCCGAACGCATTAGAAACAATAGATAATGAGGCATTTCAGCTGATTATCTATTGTTTTTAATGCATTCGGCACATGAAAATCACGACGTTTGGAACAGGCCTAATCAAAAACGTTTTGTTGTGTTTAAATTTTGCACTAATTATCACTAAAATGTAATAGAGCTAGTGTCGATATATCTTTCAGAAAGATTGGTTTGCTTACAGCACACAAAGGACATAACCCAGTTGCACGATACCAGTTTCGCTTGTCACGACATCGAAGTTAACGGTCTCAGCTGGAATATTTTATTAACACTTAAATTGCGATAATATAACAAAGTAAAACGAAACTGTTAAAGGTGGAAATGCTGTGGGCAGATTCGTGAGAAGCGAATCCGGTATTGTGTAACTGGGACCTAGACTCTAGAAAGCAAATACTATTGTTCCCAGTAAACTGCGAAATGACCGTTTTTTAGGTGGTTTTTCAGTGACAGTTTTGTCAATTACGAGGGACATATTTGTGTACCTCATGATCACAGTTCGTTGCAAGCGGCGTGTGAAAAACTGTAAGTTTTAGATTGACAGTTCTGACAGTTAAATGGGTTTCTAATTTTATTGTCCAATATTGGACAATAAAATTAGAAACCTATGTAACTGCCAGAACTGTCAAACTGAAACTTGCAGTTTTTCACACGCCGCTTGCAACGAACTGTGATCATGAGGTACACAAACATGTCCCTCGTAATTGACAAAATTGTCACTGAAAAACCGCCTAAAAAACGGTCGTTTCGCAGTTTACTGGGAACAATCGTAGTATGAAATTTACAGAGAAGAACACCTTTTGAACTTTTTCGAATTTTAATAAATATTATGAAATTATGTCGCGCTTCTCATGCTCATGAAATTATGAAATTATGAATTTTAATAAATATTATGAAATCTGCTGTGTTGGTGTAATGTACTCAGGTGAATAAGATGTTTGTGTGATGTTTGTTACTCAGGTGAATAAGATATACACTCAGAGTAACATCACACAAACATTTTAATAAATATTGTTTCTATTGTCAGTATAAGATTTGAATATGGCCGATATTTGGCTTTCAGCTAACTGAATCTAATAAATCTTCTGAATACTGGATGAACCATTTCGCTGATGTAGAATGCGCATGAGCTAACAATTGTACCATAAGCACCCTTTCTTATCCGTGTTTTTTATTCATTTCTCGATACCACACAAAACAGTGTCAGGGTCACCGCAACAGTATAAAAACCAAATACTGTGGACTCTATTTTACAAATACTATATATAAACATACAATTACATTAATTAACATAACTTAATTTACGAGATGTCTTGCATTTTATCGCAATTTAAAGTTTTTTTCTTGTAGATGTGGATAATTGCAATCCTCGCGTTTGCTGTGCTCGTTACTCAGAGCAGTGCAAGTAAGATTTTCTAGTATACTAATAATAAAAAAATTCTGATTTCATGCCAAACATAATTCAGCAGCGAAATGTAATTCAGCCGCAAAAAATATTTGTTGCGAATGCGAATACCTATATGAGTAATCATTGTTATTTGCCAGAAGAATATATCCATCTTGTTGACAGATGACGTCATCCCATGGTTATATAAGAAGCTACGTTGCGACTTCAGATCAGCCCGGATGAAGACATTGGACTGGAGTGTCGAAACGTTAAGTCGTGAATGCTTCATCTGGGCTATGCATTCATTCGTAAAAAAACAGAGTAACGAGCGAAAACTTGACTGATACTATATCTGGTTTCTGTGAACTCACAATCTTTAAATTTAATATATGGTTTCCGTGAATGATTAAACTTTAAATCGAATAACAGTTATCTGTTATTTCTATTTCCAGGTGTTCCTTTGGAGTTTATTTTCTACGCAAATGCGACACATGTTATGTATGTGCCATCAAGTGGTGGAGGAAGTACAGTCATTCGTTCCGCAACTAACACAAAGTTAGGTTACGATGCTACCACAAGAAGACTCTACGTTTTTGAAGAAATATCCTCGAAGTTATTTTCGATGAAACTAGATGGGTCTGATAGCCAGGAAATGTTTGGAATTGGAGGAGGCATTAAAAGATTCAGTGTGGATGACATTAATGAAAAGATCTACTATATCTCCGAGGCAACTGATTTCACAAACTCTAGAAACTTTGGCGGATCAAGTTTTACACTATTGCTTGGTGACGGCAACGATGATCTTACTGATATTCAAGTCGACTCTATGATGAAGTAAGTATTGTTAGGTTTGAGGGTAATCCTAGGATTGGAGTTTAGAGTTAGGGTTGAAATTAACACTAGGCTTAGAGCTATAGAAATTTTGTCCATTTTTCATATTTTTCTTACGCTAGGTTTAATGGACAATTTCTGTGTTCACTGCTAATTTTAGGGTGTTAAAATAACACCAAAAGTGGTGTTAAAAAAATAGGTAAAAAATAACACTACTTTTTGGTGCTATTTTAACACCACTAAAAAAGTGTTAAAATAACACTAGTTATGGTGCTAAAACAACACCCATTTTTAGTGTTAAATTAGCACTAGTTTTTGGGGTTAATTTAACACCTGTTTATAGTGTTAAACTAACACCACTTTTAAGTGCTAAAGTGACACCAGTTTTAAGAGTTGATTTAACACCTATAGTGTGGCGTTAAAATAACACCTAATTTGGCAATGCCAAAGCAACACCTCTTCCTATCTGGTGCTAAAATAACACCAGATTAAGTGTTGATTAAACACTTTCAACCAGGCACATTAAGACACACACAAAAGAGAAATATAGGTTCAAAATTGGTTATTATTATAAATTACTCGCTGACAAGAAATACCTTTAACATACATGAATTTTATATATGAACTAAGTATTTATCACGATTAATTTCAGAGTCCAAGCTCACTTAAAAGTTGTTGTACAGAAATTTTGTTCTCGGCATCAGCAGGGCGGTTTAAGGTGACAGCTTCTAAATTCTAGAAATGCATAAACACTCGAAACACCTGGAGTGTATTCCATATTTAGAACATGGAATGTAGCAATAAGTATGTGGAATATTTTTACCAGCAAAACGCAAGTAAATTTGCCCCACGGCAGCAATGTACAATGGGTCCAAGGATGCAATGTCACCTGATGCCAAGATTCAAGGATAGCTATAGGTTGATTTCCTCACTTCTTCATCAATGGACAATGGGGTCGTCATCCTAAAAGTATTCATTTTCACATTAGTCTATACAGTATATATATTTAGTAATTTTAAATGTTGTCAAGTTCTAATGCAAATGCTGTATTCTGATTGGCTTTACGCTACTCGTTATCTAATTGTCAATGAGATAGCTAGCTAGAGCGCAAACCATCTCTTTGTTGAGACAAATAAGCATTGATCACATGCAATGATAGGATAAGAGATGTGCCATCTCACCTTAACACTACATGTAGCAATTTTAACTACTTCAAAAGGAGTATGCACAGTATATAACAGAGGGTAGCCATTGAGCAAGTGTCCCTTAACTATATAATTAATCACTGTTACAGTTCAATTCCATTTTGCCATTGAAAAATCATGTCAATACATCGCCATTTCAAGAATGAAAAACTACTTCATTATAATGTTACCCGTGTCAAATGGGTCATTTGTCCAGGACGGATAAGAGACGTGCCATGATCTCACCTTAACACTACATGTAGCAATTAATATTTTTCAAAAGGAGTACAGTATCTAACAGGGAAGCCATCGAGCAAGTGTCACCTAGCTTAACTATATAATTAGTCACTGGTACAGACTGGCCCGTACAGTCCAATTGCATTTTGCCATTGAAAAATCATATCGATACATTGCCATTTTAAGAAAGAAAAATTACCCCCATTATAGTGTTAATTAACTGTGTCAAATGGGTCATTTGTCCTGGATGGATAAGAGATGTGCTATCTCACCTTAACAAGTGCTACATGTGGCAATTATTCTACTTTAAAATGAGAATCTGTTGCAATAAGAATTTATTAGGTTTAGTGTATCTTTTGACATGGTCGAGAAAGAGAATTATGTTTGGGGATTTTATAATGTGAACATTATATCATAATCAATATTTTCACTCTTAAATATTAATACTCAGGACTCTCCCATTGATAGCCCAATGATAGGTAAAATTATCTCTGTCATTATACCGTAAACCTCCGACTATAAGCCCCCCCCCCCGAATATAAGCCCCCGGAATATAAGCCCACCACATATACTAACGCTCAATTCATTCCAAATATAAGCACCCCCTCCCGAACATAAGCACACCCAAATATAAGCCCCCCAAATATAAGTCCCCCGAATATAAGCCCAGTAGCCCACTACGTTATTCAACATTTCATTGTCTTTTAATATAGCAGAGAACGATATTTAAAAACATTGTCATTGTCTTTATAGCCGACTATATGTTATGTTAATCAAAGCATGTTATTAATGGATGTATATTTTCCTGTTTATGACTGACTTGTTTATGTCTGATTTGTTTATTACTAACACAAAAGATCATCCATGTATTAGCCCCCCCACCGCGTATATAACCCCCCCTTGTATAAGCCCATCAAAAATCGCTTACGAAAGTATACAGGGTGTATCAAAAAAAGCGCAATCCTCGACTGAAATGTAAATTGCTAAACAAATAATAGACGAAAACGTTAAAGTTTACATTCATTTTAAAGCGTAGCCATTCAGCTGTCTAACAGTGGGTTGTTTCTTAAATTTGACTCATTGGTTCGCGGGTAATAGTACTTTACGTTATTGCGATTGGAGACTAAAAAAATTGAGATGGAATATCAAATCGTTCTCATAAAAATAACTGATTTTTTTCAGTAAAACAAAAAAATGTTGCATTTATTAAATGGATTGTAACAATAAGTATAATTACGGCTTTTCTTCCACTATTTTTAACTCAGTTTGAAACTTCAAATGCGACAAAATTTTGGCTTGGACATCTAAGCTGACTGACATCAACTTGCTATAATTTCTTTTTACATTACATCGCAGTTCGATGACACTCTGGCTCAGACACCAGAGTGTTTTGACGATTTTTAGCATTCGTTTAGGATTTTCAAACAACCTGGTCTCCTTTAAAATACTTTTAATTTGTTCTTACGTGGTTTTCCAGATGTAGTGACGACAACATTAAAGTTTAAAGAAAGAAAATTCTAACATTTAAACCGACTAAACAATAACATAGTAAACTTGCATAATTAAACAGCAACTAAAAATGATAGGTTTACTAAATCTTTTCCTGTGCAATTATTACTAGCATTGGAGACAAGGATAATAGTTTGTTTGAAAGAGAAAAGAACAGGCTTTGAAGTAAGCCTAAAAGCGTTTAAGTAGAAATAGTATTTCGAAAGTTATTAAGCACAAAAGATGAATTGCGTTTATTTTGATACACCCTGTATAAGCCCAGGGCTTATAGTCGGAGGTTTACAGTATAAGATCCCCTTGGCAAATTAGATAAAAATTGTCTGCGTTAGCCAGAATAAAACAATAAAATAAGGTATATTTGGGAACATTGCAGCTTAAATTAATGGGTTAAAAATCAAATATAAAATTCGAGTTGGCAAAAATATTCATGAAACACCAGCTCAGGTCCAGCTGTGTAGTGTATACTGTATCTCGTCTCACAGACAGTATTAATAAAATAAATTCCATCCTTCAGTAATCAATATAAAACATTACCGTTTCGGTTTGCCATTGAAATTTAATGAATAAAGTATTGTTGGTCTGTGTTGTTGTGCGTAATTTGAATAGAATGCACAAAATCTTGCATTCCTATATGTATATGATAAAGTTGAGGTTGGGCATTTAACAGCCATTTTCCGATTTTCCATCTCAGGTTCTAAAATACTTGTCCTTATAATTGAAATGAAAGCAGTAAACGCAAGATAAATCAGACAAAACTACAGTATTTGTAAATCAAAACGCGCGCAAGTTTTCTTAACTGAGACTGCAATGGCAATGAGAATAGCCTCAGCATAATGGCGGTCGTATTATAAATACGACAATCGCAGACAACAATCACTATAATTCTCGCAGTATTATAATAACTCACCTTATTCCTTTCGACGTTTATCACATCTTTGAAGTTACAGGCGAACTAATTCTACAGCATTGACGCTGTGAACCACACGTTTTGAATTGCATTGGCGGCCAGACCTTTGTCATTCAAATACAAACAGCAACCTTGCTCGCTTCTTCCTCGCACTGTTTTAAAGCCATCTGTATGCTTGAAATATGAATATACTAAAGCCATTTTAATCAGTTTGTATCGCTTCCATCCCACTGACACTTAGAAGCAATCCTAATAGAACCCTCGCACCACAATAGCAGATATATTCCCATACAAACGACCACAAACTATATAAATGCCAGTATTGATGTGAGAAGAAGGTATTAGATTTCACGTCGGCGCTATCCTCATTGGTTGAAAGCTCGATCATGCGGCGCGCGAATATTCAAATATTTCGGCTTCATTGTGTGTTATCTTCATATTGTGTTACTACTGCTGCAAATTATAGCGTGTTATAATATTTGAAATGCGATATTTTGAGGTCCAATTTTGCCAGTTTCCAATCTGTATGATGAAATGCATAAACATACATGACACATGCATGTGACATGGGAACTATTTCTGTTAATTTATTATTTATAATTTATGTCTAAAAGTATTAACTTCTGAATTCAAATGTTTCAGTCTAAAAGTATTAACTTCTGAATTCAAATGTTTCATTTGTGAAATGGTTTATAATTTGCCAGTAAATTAATATGAGGCTGTTTCATGCTAACAGTAAATAATATTCGGATAAATATTTGCCAATTAATTAATTTGGCGAAATAACTGCACGAACAGTTTTAACACCACCAAAAAGGTGCTATTTTAACTGCCCGTGCTAGTTTTAACACCACCAAAAAGGTGCTATTTTAACACTCGTGCTGCGTGCTAATTTAACACCACCAAAAAGGTGCTATTTTAACACTCGTGCTGCGTGCTAATTTAACACCACCAAAAAGGTGTTATTTTAACACCTATGTTCTAACTCCACAAACAGTGCTAATTTAACACTGGGGAATACAAATTCTTAACACCACTTATGGTGTTATTTTAACACCAAGAATTTAGCACCAGAAACCGGTGTTATTTTAACACCACCTGTCCTTAAGTGGGGGTTATTTTAACACCTCTAAAGTGGTGTTAAACAATTTGAGTGTTAAATTAACACTTTGCAAAATATTTTTATTTATGTCGTGTTAAATTAGCACCGAAAAAGGGTGCTAAAATAACACCTTTGTTTAACACCACCAGTTGGTGTTAATCTAACACCACCCGAGGTGTTATTTTAACACCCTGAAATTAACAGTGTAATGCTTTCTGTATGAGGATATGTAATCGACGAGAATCTCATTATAAAATTTATCCAGTTGACATGATAAAACCCGTTCAAATAAATTAAGACATGGAAGCACCGTTATAGGTTGATAATTGGCCTTGTTCAAATCATCCTCTTTTTTAAATAACGGTGTTAGCTGACCCACTTTCCAACGTTGTGGATATTGGCATTGATTGATTGAAGTATTTATTATATGTGCGAAAGGGCCAACTATTTCTTGAGCAGATTCTTTGATCAAGCGAGGTGATAAGAAGTCGTGCCCACAAGATTTACGGGTATTGATTTCTGACAATAATACTCTAATTTGTGCCTCATTTACATTGCAAAATTTGAAACGATCCACTACAGATCGTTTATCAGTATTCTCAACAATAGCCTTTATACTTGGATGCGTGCTGAAATCAGTGTCAGACTCGTGCTCAATCATTTCGCAAAAACCGTCCGTGATATGTGAAAAATAATCATTAAATATATTTGCAATTTGTTCTTTATTAGTTATCATAATATCATCCTCTTTCAATGTTATATCATTCGCTTGCTTCGATTGTCTAGTATGTAAAAATGGACGATATGCATTCCAAAACTCACGGGGACTCTTCGCCTCTGCTTTTCTTAGAAAATATTCTTTAATAGCTTTACGTCTAATTGAAGTGCATTTATTTCGTTGTACTTTATACTTAGCGTAGTTGATTTGATTCCTTTCTTTGGTAAAGGTTTTCCATAATTTATTTCGACAACGAATTACTTTGCGCCATCTTGATTCATATGTATAAGGCACTTGATTTCCCCGCACATGAACTTGTTTGATTGGAGCATGTTCATTTAACACATTGTTGTAAAGTGCTTCAAAAACATATAGTTTACATCTACATCGTCAAAAATTTCCATCACATGGAAAGGGTCATTATGTAAATCGCTTAGAAATTGCTCTCGATCAAAGTTTTTAGGGCTACGAAAACAAATTTTTCGAGATCGTCTGTATGGTGCTGAAACCCATAGAATAGCGTAAATTAACGAGTGGTCGCTAACCTGCACATCCACCACCCCGCTTGCTATAATTCGTCTCTTGTTGTCAGTTAATATGAGATCAAGTAACGTGTTTGATGTTTTACTTACACGAGTAGGCAAATTTATAACATTCTTTAGATTGTATACAGGGTGTATAAAAAAAACGCAACCTCGGAATTTCCTAAGAAATCAATTTGCAATTCTTAAGCATAAAAGATTTTAGGCCCCTGGGAATTGAAATCGAATTGCTAATAGATCATATTACTGTTGTTGTGCATTAAATAAATGCATAAATTTTGCTTTATGCACTCGCGTGTGCAGTAATTTTGACAGTTATGCTATTATAAATTCCCAGGCGCATAAAATCTTTTATCTTTAAAACAATGTTGATTTCTAGTTGGAAATTTTCGATTTATACAAGCAGAGCATTCATAAACAAGTGAATGAAATAAGTACTTGCATTCTTTTGGGGTGAAACCAGCACATTTTATATGCGCCAGGCCTGAACAACAGGCACACTGTACTTGTCTATGATTGTTCGCCAAACCACGATGACAGACCAAACATTTACTTTGATTTGGCCCGGGATTTGGATTTATGTCTCCACATAAAACAAGATATTCACGATTAAATGTTGCACAGCTATTATCATATAGTAACTTATCCTTGTCTTAGCATATCCTGTCTTCTTCTCAACAACTTTAAATCGAGCTCGGCGCATCTTCAAATGTATCGCCAACCATATTTCCTGTCGTAATTCAACTGAATCAGGTATTTGTCTTTCATGACATCGCAAATCTACATCATTTACTTCTTCTTTATACTTAATTGAGGCATTCGAACACAAAAACATCAAGAATATAACAAAATTCAAGGAGCTTATGAACAGACGTCCCGCCGCTATTTTGATCACTACATGTGCATGGCAAGCAAGTGCATGGCAACAAATTTATATTATATAACTTTCAAAACAAAAACATGGATATTTTTTCATTCAAGGTACAAGCTGAAACAAACAAAAAAATCCAGCAGACGGATAGTCTAGACCTAATCCATACGTCCTCTAACATTTAAAGTACATAAGTATTGACTGGGCGAGAGGACCGGACTATAGGACATGAGTCGAATTCAGTCTATTCGTATCCTTCTCTACAATAAGTTCCACCAGATTGCGCCAATTCAGCTCTCATCGACAGTTACACCGAGAATCATAAATATACATTTAATTCGCTTTAACTGAACTTGACCAATAAGAAGATAATCAGTTTTTTAAAGCAATTGGTTTGCCACAGCCAATAATCATAATTATATGAATTTTTAGTAGTATTAAGGCTAATACGGTTAACTGCTCTTAGCCTTAGCCATTTTATTGAAAATAACCAGCGAAAAATATTCTTGCATGGCACATTAAGGCCTGATTCCACGAGCGCTTTTTGTAAGCGAAATGCGAAATATTTCGCCTGTTTCTTTTGAATTGCGACCACTCGAATAAACTATTTCTACTTGATTGCTCACAATTCAAAAGAAACAGGCGAAATATTTCGCATTTCGCTGACAAAAAGCGCCCGTGGAATCAGGGCTTAAGGAAGTCACTCCTTTTGACCTCATCTTGAGTCTTGCAACACACTTCGGAACACTTCGCTTAGCAAATTGCAATCGAGGCTGGCGCATGCGCAGACGTTATTCCACATTGTTTTTTGTGGGGGCTCTCTGAGGAGAATCGTTATTGCGCGCGCAAAGTACGTCTGATTTGTATCAAGTTAGAGAGTTTAAGCTTCGCGTTATACGTCAAACGGCAAACACCAGACAAAGAAAAATTTTACGGTATCAGGCAATAAAGAGTAAAATTAATAAACTTGCTGTTTTAAAACTGAAATACATAATTATGCTTTTGACGCAAGAAAGAAAATATGAAACGAAAATGTTCAACGAGAATTTTGCCAAGAAAGTTCGAACCTGCCGTTTGCCGTTCCCGGAAACGTGAAGCTTAAACTCCCTGATGTCACCAAATGTTGCTGATAAATGTAGAGTAGAGTATCAAGATTTTCCAATTTACAATAAAGAAAATCTGTTGTGAAAACATTCGAGAAAGATTAAAACCTATGTACCGTACTAACCGGTTGTATAATGACAGCTTTCAAAAGAACATTATATTAACTTTCCGATAATAGCGTTTTTTTCACCTATATAAGTACCTACTGTAAAATGATTGCTCTAAAAAGAGAGTCAATCGCTACTTTTCTCAATAAACAGATTTTATTCACTTGAAGAAACCTGAAACATAATAATAATAATCTTAAATATCCAAACGCTCTTTGCTAGAAATAGCTGTGTAAAATTGATATTTTAATTCTAAAATACATATGTTAAGGCCATTTTCCACGATGCGGAATTTTCCGCACGGAGCGTAATTTTTCTTTATCTTGTGATTTCTCATGTGGAACTAATTTGAAAAGACAAAGAGAAATTCCGCTACGCGCGGAAAATTCCGCCTAGTGGAAAACAGCCTAAAAAGATTCAGACGCATTGGCTGGTGCGTGAAGATACCGCTTACAGTACTACATTTTGCAAACATTTCACAAAAGATTTTCTTGATTTTAAATTTGACAACGTTGAGTGACGGGTAGCATAACCAAAAATATATACTGTTTAACCTTAATGACGATTTATTTAGAATTGATGAAAGTGTTACCCACGTAAAAATACGTTGTATTAATGGCTATTATGATGTGGGTGCCGGCAAACAGTTTACAAATTTAAAAGATTTTGTGGAATACTACAAAATGCAACCTTTGGTGGAAAAATCTGGTCGTGTTATTCATCTGAATTTCGTAAGTGGCTGCGCAATAGCCATGCTTATACTTGGTTTCCTCTAAATAATTTTACCCTGCTCCTGTTAACTTTTTTTTTTATCACGCATGCATGGCTCAGACACGAAAAGTTATACCTCCTCCTCCTCCTTATAAAATTTCTATATAACATTTCTAAATTATGCATGGTCAATTGCACTTACCATCAGATATTACGCTTATTAATTACTTACTTAGCCTAGACTGTTATACCTTTACAACAATTGTGATATTACTTTCTTAACTATGTATATCCTAACCCACCCTATCAACTTTCCCTGTGGGAGGAAACTGGAGCACTCGGAAAAAAACCCACGGACTTTCAGCAGAGCGCCGGACTGACTCTTTTTGCGTGAGTGCATGCGTAGCGGGAAACGAACCCATGAACTCCGAGGTGAAAGGTGCTTGCTCTGATGCCGCAGCTTTCGTATAGATATATTGATAATTTATCTTTTATGTTTTCAAAAACATCTCGTAATAATCTGACATAATTTCGATCCGCAAGTTCGGAAAACTAAGATTAATATGATTAATATCATTGGGGCAACTGATGTTGATAATCAAGGTCTGAACCGAACAACAAACACAGAAAGCAACTAGTTTTTCATTTTCAAATTGTGTGCGAGCTTATTAAGAAATTGGCCAATTAAGGCCTCTTCGCCCGGATCATTCTCACATATTTTTCTTGCATGTATACGTATATCACAAAAACATAGAACTTCAATCAATAGAACGTCGCGCTATAAGAACGTTCGTTCATTTACCTTGCATTATATAGAAAAATAAATTAATAGTTCTTTGAATACAATTGTAAAAATATTTTCATTTTTCATGAAGTGAAAGATAGAAATTTCAACTCCACGAGCTAAGATACGATAACAGAGTTTCGACTAACTAATTAAATTCAATGAACACCAAAAGGTACAATAGGAAATACGTATATATAGTACAAGACTCTACGACTAAACCGTGTTCATGTGTATCACGTGATCATAAATATGTCTTTAGATATTTTAAATATGTCTTGTTCCTCTTTACTTTTAGCCGTGCGACGCGACAAGAGCAAGTGCCTCGAATTTTGGTGACGTATTGAGCAAGCCATTCAAAATAGATGAAGCTGTAGTGAAAAAGATAGAAATCTCCAAAGAATTTGAGGTAACAACGTGATAATCATATTCATGCTAACACTACTTACTCTACTTTCATGAACATATCATCATACTGTACTATCGAACAATAGGTTCTATTGGGATACAAAATAATGTTAACCACTCTTCGATAACCAGTCTCATTGCCTTAGCTGGAATTTACTTTTGTTCATAGCAACTCAATGGCAATAAGAATATTCTCCCTTTTGCTGTCCGTTATATGTATTCTGGCCTATGCAATCAGGGATGTTGGAAGTTGCTAAGGGCAACGGGTGCGATTTGTTATCAAAAGGGCATATTTTTAACAAAAGGACACAAACTAAAATCAACCAACTTATAGACAAGCAAATCAATGCGGACACAGGGAATTTACGTGTGTAATCTGTTCGTGTTAAAGGTTAAATCTTGTGCACCCGCATTCCAGCCTGAAAGTTGTGAATACCAAAAAAAAAGGGTACGTACACTTACACCCGCTGCACCCGTTGTTCCGGCATGCCTGTCTGAAAGGATGGCGGTTTAAATATACAACGGATTACAAAAAGCATTCTCGGATGTGTTGATCTCATGCATTCGCCCATAAAATGGCCGCCAGTGTGAATTTGGGGCCGCACTACCATGGAGTGAGAGTTATCCTTAATGTTAAACGCAATGACAGTTGAACATTTTATGTATCACAATAACAATACTATAATTGTTCCAAATGTTTAGGAACGAACTTTCCCTAAATCTCATGTTAATAGTATATTTTGTGTTCAATATATAGACCACAGTAAGACTTTTTTAAATGTTTATTTCGTTAACAAACGACTTTTTAGAGATTTACTCCATTTTCTATTGAACATTACCCCTTCGACAAATACTGCAAAACACCAGACACAAAATTTCAACATCTAGAATCATCCCTGCAACACTTGAAATACGAAGTAAAGAAAGTAATCAATAAACACAAGTCACGTTCTGTTCCTACCAACCTCACCAGAAACCAAAGAGAAACCCTGTCCGAATTGACCACACTTAAGAAAGTCCGAGAAGTTAGAATATCGGTGAGCGATAAAGGTGGCGAATTCGTGGTAATGAACAGTAATCTAGATAACACATTAATGGAGAAACACCTTGGAAATGAATCACTTTACCGACCATGCCATGATTTAACGAAGAAAGCTGAAGAGGAGATCAACGAAGTTTGGGGCTACGTTACAAAAAAGAATCGTGTTAACGAAAGATCCATTGGAAGATTAAAAACGACCCACAGTGTTTGTCCTGTTATCTATCTACATACTAACCAAAACTCATAAATTCCAGAACAATATACCGAGTTCTAACCCTGATGACATCAAAGTACGACCAATAATCTCTGGTTGTGGTGGTCCTGCCAATAAAGTCTCCTGGCTCATACAAATGATATGCAACCCTCTCCTGCAGTTCATGAAAGCACATCTTAGAAGCACTCAACACCTATTGAATAACCTACGGAGCATTGAGAATGGAGAGCTGAAGAACAAGCTCCTGTTCAGCTTAGATGAGGTTTCCTTGTATCCAAGGGTAGATAACGACGCAGCAATTGATACCTTACGTTTATATCTAAAGAAAGAAACGAACAACATCCCACTTTATCAATTTTCGGTATCTGACATCATTCTACTCACCAAAGCTATTTTCGAAAAGAACTGCCTCTCTTGGAAACGATCTTATTATCAACAACGTCGAGGTCTGGCTATGGGAAACCGGTTAGCCCCAATATTCGCTATACTCTTCATGGACAGAATAGAAAACCTAGCAATCTATTCCGACCAAGCTCTGTCCCTTCCCTTGTATTATCGATATATTGATGATTGTATTACACCTGCTAGCGGTCCAGATGTAGCTGTAAAGATCCAAGACAAGCTTAACTCACAACACCCATCAATACGATTCGAAATCGAGTTACCAGGCGAAGATGGATTCCTCCCATTCCTCAACACAAAAGTCAAGGTAAATGAATCTGGAACAGTGGAGACGGGATGGCATACAAAATCGGCAAACAAAGGAATAATGTTGAATGCAAAATCACAGCACCCAGAACAAATCAAACGGGTTGCTATCGGTAATACCATCAAGACATATACTTCCATATGTTCAACCGACGCCTTGTTTAAAGAAGCTGAACCGAAATTTGAAAGAAGAGCGAGACGAAACGGCTATAGCAACAACTATATAAAAAAGTCCACACAACAAAACGAAAACTGCCAAAATCGAAAGTCGAACCTCTTCCCACATTCACAATTCCATTCATTTCCTGAAGCTTTACCACCGACATCCAAAGAGCGGTCCAGAGTTCAAACCTCAATGTCAGAATAGTTGAAAGACCACGAAGCTGATTTAAACAACTCCTCGTTGAATCGCGACCTTACGATAAAGTATGCACAGACACCTCTAAATGCCCAATCTGCAGCAACTCAAATGCTCCCGTTCGGTGTACACAGAAAGATGTCTTGTATCAAATCAACTGTGACCTTTTCGATACCAAGAACATTTTCGTTCCGCAGCAAACCCGAAAGCAAAGTCTTATAAAAACATGGCTTTCTCGAAACACTATCTCGACCAACATTACGGACAAAAACCTAAACTGTCTGTTAAGATTTTAAAACGAACAAAAGGATCTGTAGAACGGAAAATTACCGACGCATTATTCATCCAAAAGCTCAATCCAGACTTGAATGGAATATACGAACTGTTAAATGCCTTAGATTTGGTAGTTTAAACATTAAAGACACGCGCACGTAATTTATATGCTTACGCAATTTCGCACGCGCGAATAACGGTCGCAATTTAACGTTTTTGCATGCGCATGTTAGTTTAAATTCAAATTGTAATCCTAACCATAGAGATTATAAATAACACTAGAGGAGGCATTGTAATCTTAATTCAGTAAAAAAAAGGGAACGCGACTATTGGGGGCAAATTCAAGTCCCGGATGTGTATTCGTGTTCCCATCCAGGTGATCTCGTGTTCGTATTTTAGCCAATCAGCGCTCAGAAAGGGTTGTCCGAATAGAAATCCATTTTGATGTATTCAGTCAATTATATCTTTCGTTATTCTTTATGAAACTAGTTGAAATTTTGTAATTATGTTTGGTTATGAGAACTATAGCTCTGACAAAGAAATGGAATCGAAATAAAGTATATTACAGGAGATATTCAGTTGTTTTAATCATAAAATGGATTTCTACTTGACAACTAGTGCCAATACTTTTCCGCGTATCAAGATCATCTGGATTGGTGACGAGTTTCAAATCAGCCAATGAGAGCACGATTTTATATCTGTGATTTAAATTTGCCCCCAATTAGCTGTGTTCCCAATTTTTAAACTCGATGCCTCCTCTAGTGTTATTTATAATCTCTATGATCCTAACTACCTGAAGATGGAGTAAATCTCCGAAATATCGTTTGCTAATGAAACAAGCATTTAAAAAAGTCTTACTGTGGTCTATATATTGAACACAAAAAATACTATAATTACTAGGGCAATGCCGAAAGAACCGATCAGGTTGATGATGGATCTCTGTACAAGAAAACAGATGACCTAGCTGTATCACCAACTTCTTGTACCCCCACGATAACTTCTTTTCAAGAAATCAAGCGTTCAGATGATGCATTCTGGGAGTTTCCTAGAGATAGAATTGTATTTCTCAGAAACATTGGTGAAGAAACATTCGGTTCCGTAAACAAGGCAAAGATTTTACCCCTACATTCCATGAATCTTATGAACGGTGGAATTGTAGCAATTAAGACACTTAAAGGTACACTAATAGTATTCGTAAAACTAGAAATACATGCATGCAGCAACCCCTCGCATCTATTTTCAAACATTGATTTAACATGAAGTATGATTATTGCTTTTAACTATATAACAATGAATTTCCGAAAGATATACTGTAGGTATGTTGTTCTGCATTTTGTGAGCTTTGATTTAATGGAAAATGTAACCTGAATTGCTTCGTAAAATGTTTTGAAATGTTCATTTTAGTATTAAACTATAAACTGCTTTTTCCGATAAACAGTTTTTACTTTATAAAGCAAAATAAGTTCAAATTTTTGAGTAGTTTCAATTCAGTTTGTTTTCAAATTAATTTGCTCTCCTTTCTTAAATTACACAGGGTAATTTGGCAAACTTTAATACAGCTTCATTGAATGCAGTGCATGTTTTGCGCAATAAATTAAAGCAACAAAATTCATAAACATTAAACATTCAAAGCAAACTTGCTCTATATTCCACGATTTTCCACAGCAAATCAATTCTTCTCATCATTTCTTCAAACAAAAATTGCTTCAAAGCTTATTGTGTGAAACGTGATTTTCCAAATATATGCTTTTGAAAATTGAAATCTTGTTTATCCCACTCCTGGCAAATATCTATATTTTTGAGATCAGTGAGGATGACGACCAACCACGGTTGGTGACCCACGCCCGCGATCATTGACGAACTTTGGACTTCACTAATGCTTCCCATCCCCCCGGTGTAGATATCCGGGCGGAATTAGTACCCTCGCCGTTAAGGTTGATTTTTGTTAAATTTTTAATTATCATGAAGATTTTCGAACTATTTAGAATTCTAGTACACCTTTCAATGTTTGTTCTAGCACACAAAGGAACACATAAATTATTTTACGAAACAAAATTTTGTTTCTATGTGTTTTTATTTAGAGAACAGTACATTAAAGGACCGTAACGATTTTCTAAATGAATTAAAGTTGATGAAGAAACTGGAGCCACACCCTCATGTTGCACAACTTCTGGGTTGTTGTACAGTTACAGGTATTGTACAAGAGCTAAAGGGGCTCGTTTATTTCGGTCGTGCCTGATTTTGGAATGACTTACGTCTATTCCAGTTCAATGCGTCTGCATGCAGACGCTTTTAATTGTCGTAACAGTAAGAATATTTAGAGGGACACGATCCTTTTCAGTATGAGTCTTGGAATAACAATAAACATTAAGTAAAATGGATCGGTAAACGAGTAAATACGACTACCACATAGGTAATTCTGGCACCGCAGTTTTTGTTCGAAATCTAGACAATATTTCTCCCATGCCAACTCTTATAGGAAATTATGCTTCTTCAAATTACAAAATTTGAAATTTGTTGTTTTGGAGCTAAACTTTTGCTTTCCTCCAGCTCAATTTTACCTTTCGTTACGTATTTTGAATGCGCAATGAGCTTCGATCTGTATATGACACCGCAGATCGAAATTTCAATGGTGGGTTATGTATATTTGTGTGAAATAAAAAGTACGTAAACAAACCACGCTCATGAGCAGAGTGGACTTGATTGCAATGATCAACGTGCTCCCGTAAATACAGTACTAAAACGTGTTTAATGCGACACAAATATCTTAAACTTATGATTTAGAACCATATCTCTTGATATTGGAGTATTTAGTCGGTGGAGATCTGTTGGGTTATCTGAGGAAATCTCGCGGATGTGAAGATTCCTATAACACTGGAGAGTATGCTCCAACATCAAGATTGAGTGAGAAAAATTTACTATCGTTCGCCTGGATGATAGCTGATGGTATGGCTTACCTCGCCGAAAATGAGGTATTCCAATTAGCGTTGCCATGATGGCAAAAAAATTTTCGGGTTGATAACAAAGGTTAACTACACAGAATTTTCGTAAGATCTTTATTGGCAGTAACTCTATAACACAGAATTTCCATCAGGAATTTGTCGATGGGGGTATCATGACACGAAACTATATTGGATGTTGTGAACAAGAAATGTGTAACGTTCAGGCCCTTTTATAGTGAATTGGGGACCCACTCCCCGAAGATGTTTGGATTGTTAAGTCTCCAAAGCTTGATTTTCTGCAAATATATCTTTGATATATTTCTTACGGAAGACAAAGTTTGAAAATAGGAATATTAAAGCATTCTTCTTAACGAAGTTGATCTTCTTTTTGCTGCATTAGACAGAAAGGACCTGCACCAGGTGGCCATGGACATAGTTTCCTGGAGAGGCCAACATATAGGACTGCGGTGTCTTATCACTCCCACCCCACCTCCACGCTATAATACTGTATCTTTAAAAAGGCCCTTAATTGGCATGACGTGTTGTTTGTTCGTTGTACAAGAGCTATTAAAAAATTTACTCTTGCAAGGAATTAATTGTAGTATAACATTGGAATTAAATGTAATATATATAAATATATATAAATATATATAGCTTAAGATTTTGGTTTACGAAACACAAACAGTGCTCAAAACCATATAGATAGAGCGTAATATAGCACCTGATGATTCCTATACGGATGAAACAGACTGTTGTGGTTTTTTGAGGAAAAACTATATATATTATATATATATATATATATATATATATATATATATATATATATATATATTAGTCTGGCAATGTTGTATGTGAATGTTGTGGTTTCCCACGTTTACGATTCCACATAGCTGGCTTTACGCATTGAAGGACTAACCTCCGAAATGCAACTAACATCATAACTTAACAAGTCGTTCTTAGCTTGACCTTGTAGCTCAGACGGAAGAGTATCGTTCTAGAAATGCGAAGGTCGCAGGATCGAATCCCAGCCGCGGTCAAGTAGAATTTTCTGCTTGCCCGGTTTGGTATACAGTCGTCTGAAAACAACTCAAAAAACCACTATATATATATATATATATATATATATATATATATATATATATATATATATATATATATATATATATATATATATATATATATATATATATATATATATATATATATAGTTTTTCCTCAAAAAACCACAACAGTCTGTTTCATCGGTATAGGAATCATCAGGTGGTAGACTACAGACCTTTTCGTGTATATATATATATATATTAGTTATAAACCAACTTTCGAGGTTTATAACTAGCTTATATCACATTATTTTGTGGAGGTTTTCTAACATATTTTGTCATTATCAAAAAAATTTTATGAAAAATTCTCGCGTTTTGTCGAAAAGTTTGATGTAATTATTTATTCAAGGTATATTAGCTAGTTATAAACCTCGGACGATCAAAGAAAACCGACACAAATGTGATATAAGTCATGTAATATTACGTGAGATACGAACGTTTGAATGTGGCGCACGATTTAAAAATGAGTAAAAAAATGAGAAACATGGCTGATCAAATTTATATGAAAACAAATTGCCATTTTAATTCTACAAAAATTAACAATTTCAATTTTAGCATTTCAACTCAACTTTACTGATTTTGGGTAATGTCCTATAGTATAAGTTAACCTTTCGTGTTTCTTGGGAAGCGAAATATCAACATTTAAAAACGGTCGAAAGCATATTTGACGTCCTTTGGGAGTTCGTATTATAAAGTTTTCGTCGTTCGCCTTTCGAATATGCCTCGATTAACAAAAGATCAAAGAGTTTGGGTTTTATGGCTTCCCGTGCAAGACATTGTATACGTGTAAGAGGAGTCGACAAACTTTCTATGATGAATGAATAAATGTTTATCCAACAATTATGTTTTCCATTCGTTCTTTTGGCCACAATAAAACTATATAATCAAGTTTAATTTAACCAAATTATATTTGATAGGCAAGTATATGCAAATTTTTAACATTGTCAAATATACTTATTCGATTTAAAACATCGATAGCTCAGTAAATATTTGCACGGATATTCCAATGTTATATATCAAAATCAAGTTAGCCGTTTCTGAATACAATATAACTTATTTGAGTACAATAGTTTTTATCGTTTTTACGTTACATTAAATCAAACAGCGCAAGTTTTTTTTGGGACACCCGGAATATATATATATAGTAATTCACGCGCGTTTGGCGAGAACATTTGCGTAATAATTATATGTATAGATATTACGATTATTTCATGGCACAGCAAAGAAAGTCACTTTAAAATGTACGATAATTTAGACATATTTATAGTAACAACATAAGGCTATCATCACCAACATTATACAACATCACAATCTCTTTTAACAGCTATATGCCCTAAGCTTTTTCAATAATATCAAAGTATTCTACTTAGTGCATGAGATATATATTTTGGTAACCGGACGTAGTGTGCTAATGGCTGCATGCATTCCCCGAGCTTGTTTATAAGATCAATTAAATTTACTAGATAGTCCACCGCGACCTGGCAGCGAGAAATGTGCTTGTTGGTGACGAAAATATTTGCAAAATCTGTGATTTTGGTATGGCCAGAGCCGAAGGGAAATATGAGAGAAAATCTCAGGTTTGTTATATAACAATTGACATAAAATCAGTATGTGTCTTATTCGTGAAAAAATACCTCTCTAACATAGGCGTACCGGGCGGGGGGGGGGGACGGTAGCCCCCCAGTTTGTTGGGCAGTCGGGCAATATTCAATCAACAGTCGGGCAATTTTGTTGGGGTTTTTTTTAAAAAATGGGACAAATTCTGTCTATTTAGTCGGAAATTCAGTCAATTTTGTGGTCAATTTTGTGTTGTTTGGAAAATTTGTGTGATGTTTGGAAAAATTTAGGTGTGTCCGGAAATTTTTTTTTGACAAAATTCTTACCGCCCCCTAATTTTTTTCTTCCGGTACGCCCATGCTCTCTAATGTCAATCAGGCAATCTTTATGCCAGGGTTTTAAAAAGTATAGTACCAAAGTTATCATCAGCAGAAGCCCAACCCCAAGAAAATATATTTGAGAGGACATTTGAACTTAAACTGATAACGCGCGTCTTACCTAGGCACGTCTTCCAGTCAAATGGATGGCTCCTGAAGATTTATTTCACGAAACCTGTACAAGCATGAGTGACGTGTAAGTAAATACATTTACATTTAATTAAACTAATTAAAATTTTTTCAAAGATTTTTATTTATAGCGCAACTGTTATTGTTAAATATTCGAAAAGCGGGAGCCATGTTCTTTTAATATTTTAACTACAGTAATATTGAAAAAGAAAAAGCTGACCTTGATATATTAAACGACAAACGTCTAACAGAGCTACAATAACGTCTGAGGAACACTTGCATAAAAAGTCAAGATTTGGGGGCATCTCGCTCGATAGAACTGATTGAATGTACACTAGATAGGATTTTTCTAATGGAACTTTTGAACGTAAACTTGTATACAACTCATAATTACATGCATGCTGAACCAGGACATGAGGACCTATATAAAATTGCATTTTTCCGCCGCTGCTTCCGGTTAGGTCTAAAAATTGTATATAAATTTCCATTTGGAAATTTGTTCTACAAAAGTCCAATCTACATTCAGTTCCATCAAAGCGAAAATCTTCAATATTTACCCATTTACCTAACTGGCACGCATATACAAGAACTTGTGGTTAATCAACGGCGACTACCCTTTCTGAAATCAACCTTGTTGATTCAGAGCAGTCGATGAATTAATAATAAAAGCAGTTTAAAAGTACTAACGCTTTTGCAATCTGAAAACCACAGGATTCAATCGCCCTTAAATATTTTGAGATTAGTGCCATTTTTTAGATACTTCACAATTTTTTTCAAGTGGTACTTTTACATGACTTTTTCAGGCTTTGCGCTTAGCTATATAAACGGTGTTACCATCTCTGATATGACGTAATGGTTTTATTTATCAGCCTGTATATCAGGGTAAACATTTTTTACTTTGCACAGGTGGTCTTATGGAATTGTACTTTGGGAGATATTTACCATAGGTAGGAAGATAACAAAATTATTGATACGTTTTGCTTATAACTACATGGTGTAGAATTTCATACTTCCTCCCTTAAAAATGTAAATGAAAATCACTTCTTTTTGTATAAATAACGCAGGGGATTCTCCATATCCTGGTCACAAGGGAAAAGAAGTTGTCAATTTACTTGAAACTGGCTATAGAATGCCCAAGCCGGAGCACTTGTCCAATAACGTGTAAGTTCTCATAAATGTTCTAAAAATTAATGTTCATTTGGTCGTTTTAATTGACTGTTGTTGTTTTTTATTCCGATTGCTGTTTTCGTTGTTGTTCTATTGGCATGTTGTAAAAGACGGACTGGATCGGACTGGACTGGACTGGACCGGGAAAACGCGGACTGAGTCCGTGTTTTACAAATCGCGGACTGAAATTGTAGAACACGGACTGGACTGGACCGAGAAAACGCGGGCTGTTTTTACCGAGAAAGTTCAATGTTTGTGATGATCATGATCATTTGGTGGTTTCAAAGATTGGATCCGGTTGTTCAACAGATTAAAATCAAATCAAAACCCGTCAAGTGCTCTTGACAAACATCGAAGATTCTCACGCGAATAGGCAATGTTTTTTATGAACGACCGTTCATCCTGCAAGCGACGGGAATTGCACTCAATCGTGAGAGTTTTGGCGGGAATTTGTAATCGAATATACCTTTTAAATTGTGTTATTAAACGGTGAAACTCTCGCAGGCCATCAAAACATCAAAGGTAGTGTTGTGCATATAAATTAACAATAAATTTAAATTCCTTAACTTTTAGTGTTGTCGTACGGGGAAGTTTCCAAGAATCGTTATTCGATTATAGTATACATTTCATATTTCTCGCAAATTTGTAGTAACCATTTTACAGGGTTTGTTTTAAGAAAAAATTAGAACTGCGCACATAGGGATGTTACGAAGGCAACGGGTGTTTGACTGGGGGGGTCATAGGATTTTTTACCTGCATATAGGTGACAGCATAATGGTGTGGTTGGGTGGGAGAATTGGAGAAAGGCCAGACAAACTCGATTTTGGGTGCGGGAGCTAGGGGTGTTCCCCAAAATAATTTGAATATAGAGCGGCTGTTAAGTTCTGGCAAAGATTTGTTTTACCCAACCACTACAAACACTGTTTAAAAACATGTAACTGGGAATCATAGATATTCAATATATGCCAACCTTAAATTTGCATTTGAGGCAGCAAAGAATATTAGGTTCCCCTACTCTAATCTCTTTTGGGGAGCTTTGCTCGCCCCAAGTTTACCTTCTTTTCCATTACTCCAGCACGTAAGTGATTTTTGTGGAAAATAGGAGGGTCTGGAGTCCTCCCCCAGAAATCGTTTATATTTTTGATGCTCATTTAATGACAGCATTTCTGTAATTTTCTGGAGCATCCACAAGTGTCAGTAACGAGTAAATGAGAAGACTGTTTTAATTAAGGCTATTTTTGTTAGTTTGGTGACTGCACATTTGTGTTTTAAGAAATGCACAAATGGGTTTAGTTACTGCACATTTTGTGTAGAACTGCACGTTAAAATAAATTTAACCCTGCCATTTTAATACGCTCATCTCGCCACGAACACAAAATAACAATTTAACTCTAGTTTCGTCTAATTATGATTAACTGCACTAAATGCTATCTGCTATAAGAGCTATATCTATACAGGATACTCGACAATAGCGGCACAAAGTCCCACATGACTGAGCGTGTTCCTAAGATTGAACGCTGTTCATCTGCTTATTCAAAACAATTGAAACAAATAATATAGTAATTTGTACCAATCTTAGCTCCAGGATATGATTATTCCTCGACCGACCTATTATCCGCAATTCCCGCTAAAACTCTCACGATTGAGTGCAATTCCCGTCAAAACTCTCACGACTGAGTCAGTACTGGACTGAATCCGTGTATCGTCGCTTGCATGCAGGATGAACGGTCGTTCATAAACTAACAGTGCCTATTCGCGTGAGTATCTTCGATGTTTGTCAAGAGCACTTGACAGGTTTTGATCTGATTTTAATCTGTTGAACAACCAGATCCAAGCAAAGCCGGCGCGAGCCAACCACGGGCCCCGGGACAAAATGGTGATTGGTGAACACGAGCCCCCTGTCCCTCTCGACTCTCTCGCTGGCTATTTTTAATCGCAATCAACGAGAGAATTACCAGGGAATTACTTGCAAGAAATCGCCGCATAACTGATAAAAACGCAATGTGAACGATGTTCAGTTAACTGTCAGTTTTGCTGAGAAAACGATCGAAAAATCGTTTATTTTACATTTGTTAGGTTTTACGATTGATCACGACGATCAGCGGATAGTGTGCAAGTAGGCGTATTTCATTTAGGACAAACATATAGCGATGATAAACCAAACCGTCATTTTACCGAGATTTCCGGGCCTCTCTGAGCTAGGCTTCTACAGATTATGCTCAGCAACTTTTTGGCAACTTTTTGCATTTGGAGCAACTTTTTCCATTTGGAGCAACTTTTTATGATATCAGCAACTTCAAGCAACTTCCTCCAGGAAATGCATAATTTTTGGAAATTTCTGGCAGTATAGACCATGTTGCTAATTTTATTTATATAGAAAGATAATGAAATGCTTGATAGCCTTGAATCCCTTGATCCATATTCTCTTCAAGCTCTTCTTCTTTGTCATATGAAAGAATAGCACGACAAGGCTCCAAAATATTTTCCTTATCCTTGGCCATTTGACAAACTTTTTAGCTTACCATTACTTCTACAGTATGGGAGATCCTATGGCAGCTTAACATATTTGCATGCAAACATCCATAACAACCCCCCATAACTGCAAGTTACATTAATTTTCTAATTGCTGGCAGCTCAGACCAGTTTGCAAGCTCAGTTTTTGACTGTTTATCAAACCCAACAATGGTGCAGTTTGAAAGTATCACGAAAGTTCATGTGCCTATATAATAGTAATACACTATTATAAATACATATGAGAAATAGAGTCCATAGATTATTCATAGCTGCAGTATATTCCAAACCGAAGAAAAGTTTACTGAAAAATGCTGAGAAATAATTAGTTATCTCATTTTCGCGACCTGCTTTTACAGAATAAGATTAGAATAGGAATATTAATTGAATTCAATAGTATTTCAGTATATCATTCACAAAATTGAATAAAATTTCGCTTGTAAACAATTAAAAGCGATTTGTTTATGACCCCACAATATTTATGATGAACAAAAGGCGGTGAAATGCTAATGCTGGGAGAATCGTCATGTATGTCTTGTTCGTTACGAGAAACGTTTGACATTTTAGGAGCAACTTTTTCCAATTTTCGAACAACTTTATAGCAACTTATTTAATTTTCGAGCAACTTTTGAGCAACTTATTCAATTTTCGAGCAACTTTTGAGCAACTTTTCAGCATTTTTAGAGCATTTTTAGAAGCCTATACTCATTCTGAGCACTCCGGGCCCGGGTATTTTGCTCCCCCCCCCTCCTGCTCCCCTCTCACCGGCCCTGGATCCAAGTTTTGAAACCGCCAAATGCTCGTGATCATCACAAACATTGAACTTTCTCAGTAAAACATTGAACTTTGTCATGAGAATTGACAATGTTTTATCTGCGACCGTTCATCCTTAGTTACAAGCGACGGTATTGAATGAGTCCGCCTTTTACAAATCGCAGCCCGCGATTTGTAAAACACGGACTCAGTCCGCGTTTTCCCAGTCCAGTCCGTGTTTTACAAATTCATTCCGAGATTTGTAACACACGGACTCAGTCCGCGTTTTCCCAGTCCAGTCCAGTCCGTCTTTTACAACATACCTGTTGTATTGAATGTCTTTTCGTTGTTGTTGTGTTTATATCTTATTGCGTAAATGCATATTAATTTATAGCACATCCCTGCGTTGCATAAATTGTCGTCGTCACAATTAATAAATTAAATATTTATATTATGTTAATAATCTGTTCCAACGTTTCCGTTCATATGTATAGTTATTCGATAATGCAGGAATGTTGGAATGATGAACCATTACTACGACCACAGTTTTCAGCCATAGCATCATTCTTCAAGAAAATGTCGGCTGGGAGTTCTAAGGTACATGCATGCATGCAGGTTGTATTTCATTATCATTTTTTTCGTATACAATGGCGCCCACTTTGTGAATAAATTATATTATTCCTTATTCAATATGCATGTGGAGTCATGGTTTTTCATGGCTCCACAGCCATTATTGACTTCTTGAAATGTAATTTATCAAAATCGGTAGAATATATTTATAAAGTGTATTTAATGCCTATCTAGAGCATAATAATTCTAGATAGGTTGAATAGACTTATTAGCAGAAACTATACTTTCCCGATTGCGATAAATAACAACTATTCGAGTGAATGATTCAAAAGCTGTTTTACTGCACGCAGCAAGTGTGCGGCAAATGAGTACATATATACACCCTTCCGAAAAGTGCTGAGTCTTGGCTATAGAGCATTGTTTTCGTGACTAAGGAGCTACTTTATTCAAAACGAGGCCATGTGTGTCTGAAACTTCTGGTAATCGTCTTCAGTATCACACTTAATTATAGCATTCCATCTCCTTGTACAACCTGTAGAACTTTTTATAATGATTTGTGCGTAACGCAAAAGCATACGAGATATCTCTTTGACAAACTTAGCTGCTTACGAGTTCATCCAATTATATATGAGCTCAAAGAGAGCGAACAATTTTTTGTAGGCAGGAACTCTTGCTAGTTGAGGGTCTCCCTGGGGGGTATGTATTGCCGGCATGTTAACTTAAAAGGTTTCCTTTTTTTTCCGTCTTCCCAACAAAGATTTCACCATGTTCCTTTGTTGCGCAAGCGTACATGTTCCCAGGTTCTAGAGTTTTGGGACCTGGTTTCCTTGTTCCCTAGGAAACCTGGGGAGACTCTCCTAGTTCAAACTACAAAACGACAAAAAATAAAAATGTATATAATGCTTTAATTTTCCAATACCAAAATTATATTAATTCAACGTGTTTGTAATCATTTGTTCCGTATTTTAATGTTGCAAATGGTCGACGCATGTTAATTAATATTCGTTACTCCGAGATTAAGTTATGATATGTATAGGTTATTTTGAGGCAACGAGGAGATATATGATTTATTCACCAATTAAGGCGCGCAGTGCCGATCGAGGTGAATAAACACATATCCCCGAGGTGCATGCCTCAAAATAACGTATACTTATTTTTCACATTGCGAGGTCGCGTTAATGAGTCAGAATAGAAATATTTCTTAATGCCATATTGCCTTCGTTGTGTTGTTTTTTCTCATTTTTTGTGCTGCAAAGACATTGCAGGTGAATATTAGAGGGATTATTAAACGGAAATTGATTAGAGGGGAATATTGAATATATTCCCCGATAAGAACAAAGGAAACCAAGCAGCGTGAAAAATAAAGTACTATAATTTATTTTGTTTTGGTCAAGAAATATTTGTTCTCATGACCATTATTTTTATATGACAATTGTGTTTATTTTTTCCAGGATCATCTTGATTTAAACAAATTTGAAGATCATCAATACGTGAATTTTGACATAGTTTGATTGCTTCAAATTTGGGAAAACGACGGCATTGTTCTATATCATACACAAGAATGGTTGTAATGTATATTAATATTCATAAAAGAGATGCTGTTATAGGCCAGCTATACGTGGCAAACTTGGTCCCAACTTTCATCCAAGTTCGGGCATATATCTGGTTAGGTAACAACTTTGCTAAGAAGAAGTGTATAGTACAGAAGAAGTCTATGTTTCAGAACGCCAACTGCTTTTCATAAAAACATATAAAGAGATACTTTCCAAAGAAAAACACGGATAATGTGGAACAAGGGGTGTTTTCATATAGTTTTCTATGAATACATTATATTCTATAATTATATTACATGCACTAATTTCTCTTTGTTCCCTCGCACTCCACTGGAACGAACTATTTGAAATCCCTCAACAAAAAGTCTTCATTTCATGATTTTTCACCTATAACATAAAGATCAGTATATCCATTTTTCGGGTGTGCTTCCTTGGCGTATCTCAAACTCATTAATAATTCATGAAAAATTATCACACTGCTTTGTTTCAGTCACATGATAGTACTGGATACCTGATGAACATTAGAGCGGGGCTGAATGAATATATAATGATTAATTTTGAACCAGTTCAAGGACTGCATCAAAATTAATTCAATCCTATAGAACTTGGTCAAAGCTAATCGATTGAGTGTAAATTAAAATTGTCTGACATACACTACATGAAAATGTAAATTAAACAACTACTGCATTGCAATCGATAAAAACAAAGCAACTATTCTAATATTAATATAATATGGCACTTATTCACGTCAAATGGAGTAATAAATTGCAAACACACAAGTTAAACATGCGCCTTCTCATGCACGCAACAATTATATCAACAATCCCTCTCAATCCGGCAAAAACTGGAAACAGAAATGAGATATATACACTGTGTAACAAAAAAGTATAGCCTTTCAAGTTCAAAATAACGATAATTATAAGTAATTTGGTTGTTCTCAACTGCTTTGCGAAAACATGTCTTATTTACAAAAGAGATCAATTATAACTTCATTTTAATGCTGCTTGTACTGTACAGGGTATATTTCATTGAGTTGTTCGTACATGTCCCATAAGTAGAAAGTCTTTTGTTTTACGGCTCGCTAACTTGTTCGAAGCAATTATAATAGCTTGTCAGATGAATTCAATAGAATACGGCGTTATGCTTGATTTAAATTTGAAAGATTATACTTTTTTTATACACACTGTACATGCAGTGTGTATAAATCTGAACTCTTTCAAATTCAAATTAGCTAATTTCAAATTCAAATTAGCTAGTAATTTGACAGCTCAAATTGCTTTGAATTAATGGTTGGGTAAGAACACAAGGCCTTGTACTCATGGCACAAAACTCAAAGAAGTAAAAATTAGAATTCGAAAATTTAAAAGAAATACAGTATTTCTTTTAAATTTTCTAATTTTTATTTCTTTGAGTTTTGTCCCATGAGTACAAGACCTTGTGTTCTTACTCAATCATTAATTCAAAGCAATTAGAGCTGTCAAATTTCTACAATACGTTATAATGATTCATTAATTATACATTCTAATGATTCATTCAAACGATTATATGATATTGTACAGTATTCAGTGGCAAGCCCGCCATGGCAACTGGTCATGCTATGCTAATATAAACCTGAACAATTTGAATAATGCAAATCATTAAAAGCTTCCACAGCATTTATATTATACAGGGTGTCCCAAAAAAAAGTGACACTATAGAAATTATCTCAGTGTTCTTAAACCGCTCTTAAACGCGCATGATTACACTCCTGGAAATTTAATGAACTTGTATTTACATTTAAGCATTTTAAAACGTTTTCGCTTTGTCCAAATACTTTAACGTCCGAGTCAAGCAACACGATTACACTATTAAACGGTTTGCTTTTTTATTTTAAATTCCAGAAGCAGAAGTTTATGCACCTGTGGAATCAACTTAATGCTAGGGCATTCAAATTATAACAATAGGATAATTTCTATAGTGTCACTTTTTTTTGGGACACCCTGTACATACAAAAGCGAGAAGTTATAAACATTGAAGGTATTCATATAAAACCGCCCATGCCAAGAAAGTAGAATTAAAATATTTAGCTGACCTTTGTGCAAGGTGTTTGATATTCAAATTGCACTTTTCCTACATCCTGAACAGGCGTCGCAGAGCAGTGTTTACATGATAGAAGGTAGGAAGATTTGAAATAAGTCGCTAGGCTAAACGAAAGTTCAAATGCTGGTTAACAGAACTTAAATGTTGTAGAGATGATCCTGTAATTCAAGAAGATTATTATTGCCGCTTGAACAACCTTTCGTTTACAGTTAACTATGATCTATCTCTAGAAAATTCTGACGTTTTTTGCTGAATCGTGCACCGTGACTAATTTCAATGCATCGAAATCATCCCACCTCATATCTCGTCCTGGAGGAATTTGCGCATGGTTCCTTTGATCCCTTGGGGGTTTTGTTTCCAACTATAATCAGCCACCTCCCATGAAACCTCCAAACAGAAATATAGCCAGTTGGTCTAACAAACTTGCCACTCAACCATAAAATGTCATAATTCAATACAAATACAGGAGTACTGCACATGCCGCTTATTAAACCTAACTAGTCACTCAAGAACGTAAACAACTGTTTTCGTACTGTTTTGTTGCATGGTGCTGTGTTCTGACGCTCAGTCGGCTCTGATATTTTGACGGTCCAAATCAGTGGTAAAGATATCAAATCATTTACATGCGATTTTGTTTCCTTCAGCATTCAAATATTCTTCATTTTTCAATAAATTATGATGTGTGCTTGTTCTTGAAATACCAGATTTGACTTGATTTCTACGCATGCTTGGCGAGTTATAAGGCGAAAACTCCGAAAAAAGGCAGTTTTACAATAAAAATATATAGTCAGTGGTGCCTAAATTACTTTGAATTTGTACTCGAGTAAAAGTAGAAGTAATTAAACAATAAAACGACTTGAGTAAGAGTAAAAAGTAGTGGAAGCAAAACGTACTTAAGTAAAAAGTACAAAGTATCCTTAAAAAATACTTGAAGTACAAAGTAAAAGTACTATTGTCTGTAGCGTGTAGAGGGGGAGGGGGACTTCTCCAATGGATTGACATACAAAAGACACAAAACAGCACACGCATAATATGCGTGCACCGAATATACAACATTTCACGGCATGGTCTACTTTCCAGACCCCGTTGAAAGTAAGTCACAAACGAGAGATCCCAGACGCATGCACTGAGAGGTCGTATTACCCATCCCAAAACTAAAAATAAATCTGATATAAATCACGTAAAATTAAACAAAAATTAGAAAGTAACGAAATACTTCGCCACAAAATGAAAATAAGGAAGTAAAACGTTACTTCTTAAAATGACTTCGTTCCAAGTAAAAGTACTTCAGAAAAAGTTTACTTTGTTACATGCTCACTTCTCAAAAATAGTACTCAAGTACAGTAACGAAGTAAGTATTCACTCCTCAACTAGGGCCATTCAACATGGCGGCCTGTCTCAAAACATGACGTACGTCCGGCTTCAATTTTTATTGGCGCTATCTTTTACGATGCCCTATCACTGATATATACTGAGACTGGATAGTGCATCGTAATAGAAGACCTGCCTCGTACCCGAGCGTCTCTTTGTAAAAATTTGTGATGCGCATATGACGAGTTTACATGAAGTATTGTAGTGGGGAGAGATGCTAGATGGGCGAAGGGACTGATGTGAAGAGTGCACTTGACCCAGCACGCATCCTTCCCAACGGCCCCTTCGCGCTTCGCCTGCCTACCTGAATACTTCATGTATTATAATTATTTAAAGCGCCTGGGTACGGGGCAGATAGAAGGCCCTAATAAAAATGAAGCCGAAAGTACGTTTGTTTTGAGACCGGCCGCCATGTTGAATGACCCCGCTTGAGGAGTGAAAGACTATACAGGGTGTATCAAAAAAAGTAAGACAATTTTGAAATTGCTCTCAATTCCACAATTCTGTTCATGAAATGTAATTTTTTATATGTATGGATTGCTTGAGTTCTTAAATTATGGAAAATATAAAAAAATTTGAAAATATTAAATTTTGCTATCCAGCGGGGTGGTCAACTTTTGCTCTCCTAAAAGTGGCTTGCGCACGGAAATGACAAACGGTATTCTTTACTTGAGTTCATGTATGAAAAGTTCGCTATTTGTTGCATTTATGATAAAATTTCGGCAGGATTTTACCGAGTACAAATCCTCCGAAAAGCCTATGAAAACGTTACATTTTTCTCTGTTGGTGCTGTTCTTGCTTCATTATGAATTCATTTTTACTCCCATGAGACGTTCTGTGGAATTTCCATGGAATTTGTGCTTTCGAGTTGTTTGTGCTGAAACGCATTCTCTCGTATAATACCCCTTACACTTTGAAATGGCGATGCCACAATTTACCCCGCAGCAGAGAGCTTTTCACGCCTGGCATTTTTGCACGCGAAATTGCACATTAAAATGTGTCCATTTTTTTCGTTGCCGCGCGACAATTTTGGGAGCTTGGTAGCGAATTTGATAATTGAAAAATTCCTCAAATTCCGCGAGCGCGTGCTTTTTGCGCGTTTTCCTTGAGGGTTATTTAAGGTAAACAGGGAAACAGAGCGTGTCTCGGGGATCAAAATGATATCAAGATTTAGTAAGGTTTACTGTGTATTCCAGCTGGATTTTCGTGCCAAAATAGATTTTATCAGCCAACTTTGTCAATTTTGGGGTGCTGATTTCAAAAAAGTTAGGTACCATTTTTTTCTTCCACGTCATCAGTAAAAAAATTGAAATTCAAAATAGCGGCCATTTTTTTTCAAAATGGCGTCCATTTTTTATTATGTTTTGTTCTATAATTTAGCTCATCGGCACCGTAGAACAACTATATTGTCCATACTTGTTAATTTTGAGTATAAAAAAGTTGGTTACAGTTCTTTTTCCGATTGCCTCTTCAATTAATTTAATAATTCGTTTGGTTTTAAGATGGCGGCCATGTCTTTTTTCAAAATGGCTACCCTGTTTCATTCACTTTGTGTTTATCTCAGTTTGTAGGTACATTGGAAAGCAAATATGCTGGAAATACGCGTAGAGATTCTTAACACAACTTCTTTAATAAAGCTTACAACATATACAAAATAGTTTTGTTTTAATTTAATATGTCCATCTATCCTGTTTATTCATCAATGTCTTCATCCTGATCTGGTACGTCAAAGTCACTAGCGTTGCTGCAGTCACCACATTTGCAAAGTGGTGTCCAGGGTAAGTTATTCTTGTCGCAGGAGCAACGAGCTGTACTGCACTCACTACGACATCCGCACTTGACAAGCTCTACAACCGACTCAGGTGCTGGTGGTTCAAGACATTTCTTTGGAGAAATTGTGCCATCGGATATTGTCTCCCATCCATTATCAGTCAGTAGTGGTGTTTGCGGGCGTGGCTCTCTGTAGCTTTTGTTGATTGCCGATATAGCATTGGCTCTCTGAATGTGCGGTTTCAGTGCTCCAAGTGTGGGTGGCAACTTTTCCGACTCAAGATTCTTGGTTCTGAATAGTTCCCATCTCAGTTCCCCAAGTGTTCGGTATTTGCTATTCTTGGCATACACCTCGCACACAAATGATTCTAGAACATCTGACACGCTTTCCTGGTCAAAATCATCCTCGCCAAATTTCTGAAAAGCATCAACTGCATCGGAATCTGATTCCAAAGTTAGATAGTGATTTATCCACCTGCTCTTTGATATACCTGCAAATTTCCCTCCCCAGTCAGCACCGCTAAAGGCGTGGAGGCCCAGTAGACCTTTACTTTTCTCGGTTCCAACTGCTTCCCATCTTGTCCGTATGTCAATCGTTCTCTTCGCTTTTCCTTTCCCAGTAATGAACCGAACATGACCTGCAATATTGTTGGACGAGAACAAGTCCATCAAGTATACGAAGACATCTGTATCCGGTGAATACACATCTATATCTCGGGTGTCTCCATCAGTTTTCGATGCATCAAGTACATGCATTGGGATCAATGTGTCTGCCTCTTCGTGTGAGTGTTCAATGATATTAGGATCAACGATATTCGGTTTGTTGCAATATGTCCAGGTTCCATAGACAACCACTACACTTTTATTGCTGTCTGCATATTCACGAAGTACCGCTTTCCCCAAGTATTCTGTCAGTTTAGATTTTGTTTCAATGTGAGAAAGCAAGGTTTTCAGAGGTACAAGTTTGATATTTGTTGCATCGTTAATGTCGAACTTCACGGGATCAATACCAGTAGATCTTTTGCTATGCGTCTGAGCTTTCAGAGAGTTCTCCAAGTATCTGTCAAAGATCACGCGTCCTTCCTCATACCCAGATATTATCTTTTTGATGCTCCGAACAAAGGCGTTAGCAAAATCAGAACAATATACCATCAACGGACCTTTCTTGATAGCTTGGACGATGGCCATGGCATCAATAATGCACACCTTGTTTCGACTCTCGACAGTACTGGGTACATCGAATGTTGAATTTTGTTCACTTGATAGCTCTATGCTGCACTCTTCAATGACATGCACAAAAGAACTCTTGTCTGCTGGGATAAGAAGAAGACCATCCGAGGAGAAAAGTGACCTGGGAATGACAGAAAACTCATATCTACCAATAGTGTCGCTAAGAGATTGGATCATACTTGGCCGTGACTGTTGAACTAAGAGAAATCTTGTCAATAGCTGTCGATCTTCCCTTAACTTTACCAGCTTGTTTCCGACTTTGCATTGTGTCTTCTTCCTGCATGTAGTAAAGGTCTTCAGCTTGATTTTCTTCATTGGATCCCAAATCGACATCTTTGCTGTGGATGCAACAACCCGCTCACACACAAATTCTTCAAATTTCTCTGTCCCCTTTTCATCTCTGAGAAGGATGTCGTCCTTTGCATTTTCTGGTACCTCCATATTAGATACCAGGTTCATTAGATTAATGTTCTTACGTGAAAATGGATTCCCGTCACAATGTTTGACTATTCCTTTCTTGATCAAGCCTGAGTTATTGAACATACGAACTGCCATTGAGCCACTCAGCTGATAATGTTCCTTAGTTGCTGGTTGGTCGCTTTTTGTGCAGTAAGAATCGTGGAAATCTTTGATTAGCTTGATTAACTCAGGGGCAATCAAGAAAAATCTATCAAGTGCACCTGCATTCTGTGTGATGCCAGTTATCCCTCCCGCTACCTTGAGTTCTCTGATTAGCTGTTCCAATGTTTGATCCACGAACAGATTTGTGAATGGGATCCCCGATTTCGCTACCATGAAGTCGCCACATTCCAGTGCCTTCCAGGTTTCCTGGTCAGTGTCCTTAAGCCGCTGCATTTGGGCAAGATAAACTGGTACGAGACGAGCATATTTGTAAAGATCATGCGCAAAATAGTATTTGACATTCTCTTCAAGAGCACCAAGGTGAAGTTCCCACTCTCCCTGTCTGCTTGCTCGAATTAAGTGAAGCAAACTCTCTACCTGCTTCATATAGCTCCGCAGAAATTGTGCCATTTCTCCAAGGTCTTGTTCAAGTGAAGATTGGAACAGTTTTAAGAAGATTGCACTTACTTCTTCAAAGACCTCTTTCACGTCTTCTTGCCTTGTATGGAGTTGATTGCGAAGTTCATAACATTTCAGTATCGTAGATCCCGCGTCTTGTTGTTGCAAAGAGGCTTCGAAAAGAAGGTCATAGCAGGCCATAATATTGGTCAAATGGTACTCTACACCACGCTTAAACCACTTTCCAGTGAAGATTTGGCGGATGGTAGATGGCGAATAAAGACCAGCTTCAATGCTGATAGACTCAAGACCGCTGCCTTCTAGATACTTTGCGATGGCATGAAGAGAAGCAAAACAAGCATGAAGTTCACCAACTCTCAAAACCCAGTTAGTGTTTTCTGTCGAAGATTGCAGTTTCAATGCTCTCTCGTAGAGATCAAGATCAAGAGTAATTATAGTTTTGTGATCAGGACCTACCACAAAAGCTGATATACCCTGAGCCTGACACAACACCGTGTAGAGAGCTGTAAAATCTGTTGGAGGTCTCCTTAACAAAGGGGCAACAATTGAACTCTGTGTTTTCTGTCGATTCTCTAAGTGAACTTGTGGTGCCGACATTAATAAAGAGTTAGTAGCTGCCCAAGTCGGCATAATGTCTGTTTTCTCCAGTTTATTGGATGATTGAGATGTACGCCGTTCGGAATGATCTGCAGCTTCAAATTGTTCACATGTACTTGCTGACAGTTCTTCAGGGGTAGCATTTTCTACGATCGCACTTCTCTCTCTGTGGGAAAACGATGCCATCAGCCACGCTCTGTCGTCCACCTCGTATTTTCTCACAAGATGATCATTGGAGTGAAAGTCGAACTTGTCAACTGTTATAGGCTTGGCTTCAATGGATGTCGGGCTTCTGTAGACTGTGCTAACATCCACAGAGACAATTTCATCGGGGATACGAAGAGATTCATCCACTACGACTCTAGCAGTTTCGTCATTGTTGCTGTCCTTGTTTTGATTGATCACTAGCATCGTACCATGAAGAGTGTTCTGACCATCAGCTGTGTTTTCTAAGAAGTCGATATTATCTGCAGCAAAGTAAATAGACTTTCCTTTCACAAGAAAAGACGGCAAACAAAATCCACCTGTTGTCTTCATCCGCTCAGCCACTCTGCAAGCAATTCGCTTCTCTATGTTGATGACGTTCCTGTAGCTAGATCCGATTTGCAGCTGTGAAAGAACATTTACAAGATCCTTACTTCTTGTTTTCTTGTGAATCGTTAATGCCAATCCAACAGAGAGAGGAGTTTCAATGTGACTTCGGAATCCGGTATCCGGCTGGGGTTGGTAAGTTATCTGACGGTCCGTTAAAGTTCTGCAGTATCTGTTGTGACACAAGATCAACTGACTTCGTTGATGCCTCATAGCGCTTTCCTTTCACATTTCTAAGTTTTGTGCCAAGAAGAAGCCATCGTAGAAAGGAGGTCAACATTGGTGGAGACTGAAATTCCTTCATGGACTGGGATCCTGTAAATTTCCAGTGAGTATGTCTTTTGAGCTCATTTCTCAATATAGCAGCTGTCTTTGCGACGCATTTGATGTCATCTTCTTCATTTTGTTGCTCTCGGAGGTTGTTAACAGCCACTCCAAGTAGCTTTTCGCTGACTACATTGTCACTTTCATTGGATCTATGTGACTTGACAAATTTAACATCTTCAATGTTTTGATGGATAATGCTTTTCAGATGCTTTTTATGATGGCTGGAACCTGGATCTACCTCATTTTCAGTAAGTATGGAAACATATTCTTCATCAATTTCATTCATTGTTAGAGTAGAACCTGAAGCAAGGGAACATTTGACAGCATTCAGGATGTCAACGTCAGCGATATATTTGCCAATGTTGGACTTGGACTGTATATCCCAGTTTGAAATGGATTGTTGCAACTTTCGTTCGTGTTCTCTAAGACAATTCCTGTGATACATTAAATCAAATGCAGCGCAGTCAGAAGGTTCATTAACATTGGCTAAAGCTACCCTAACATTCTCATCTTGTGTTCTTGATTTAATCAACAAAAACCTGATGCCCATAGACTCACTTTCGACTCGATGTAGTTCGCCTGTGCTAGGATGGGAACACTGGAACACACAAGTCTTGATGTGCTGTGAAGCGCCAACAGCCGTTCGCCTGTTACATCTCTACTGCATGATGGAGAATCTGACCTTGAAGGGCGACCTTTCTTTGGAGGCACTACTGACTTTGATGATGATGAAGATTCCCTAAATCTCTTTTCTGCCCTTTTCAATTTCTCATTGTTGACGATATTTTTATAGCATCCAGAATGATATACAGACTGAATGTATTGCTCATCTGTAAGACTTGCAATCCTGTCACAGAGAGGGGATAAGTTTGTTTCCCCATACGATGCACGTTGGCTTGCATATTTCTTGACTTTTTCCAGACTCTCCCTAGACGATTTCAATGTTAAGGGTGTTGTTCCTTCGACCTTCGAGCATATGATGCACTTGTTGGCACTGGTTTCTGTAGTATCCATGTTAGAGAAATTGCTTCATTTCCTGACCATTATTCCTTCATCTCTTGGCCATTCCTTCATTGTGCATGTCTGACATTCCTAGGACAGAACATTAACCACATCATATTACAACTAAAATCACATTATGAAGCTTTTTTCACACACTTTATCGATCAATTTCAAATTAATAATTACCTAATTTAATGTTTTTCGCCTCCAATCCCAAAATCAAGTTCGGCTGCTTAGCCAATGAAAAATATGGAAAGATACATACAGCTCATGTAGTGACAGCTGTGTCCGCCATCTTGGATGTCCGTGTAAAAAGACTAGGTACTAGTCATGCAAACTATTCTGACAAATTCTTTACTTTATTATACCTTTTATCTTTATTCACTTTACCGACCACAGCCACTATAGCTTAATTCTATTTATATGTCTTGGACATAATTTCTAGTGAAATTGTAAACGAAAATTAAAGAGTTTTAATGACTCACCACCACCGCCTTAAATTACTAAATAGTGACTGTAGTGATACAGTTAAAAAAGTCAAAGCTACGTTTTTAATAAAATGGTCATGGCATAAAATAGAACAGAATTTCCACAGAATACAATGAAAGATGGCGGCCATTTTGAAACCCCAAGGTTTGAAGGATGATGGCATGGAAAATAAAAGTAGCCATTTTTTTTTAAATCAGCAACTCAAGAATTAACAATGTTGAACGGTATTGTTATTCTAGTGTTTCCAGAAACTACGATATTGAGACTAATAAAACAAAACATAATAAAAAATGGACGTTATTTTGAAAAAAATGGCCGCCATTTTGAAAAAATAGCCGCCATTTTGAATCTCAATTTTTTTACTGATGACGTAGAAGAAAAAAATGGTACCTAACTTTTTTGAAATCAGCAGCCCAAAATTTACAAAGTTGACCAAAAAAATCCATTTTGGCACGAAAATCCAGCCGGATCCAATTATCTGACATATCAACCTATACTTTCTTTTGCCTCCACTTCCACGTGTGATTCTTCGGTACAAGTTATAGTTTTAGAGCTAGTTCCTTCTCCTTTTTCTTCTTTTCTCTGTTATCTACGGATCTTCGGTTCATCACAAAATCTCTTCCAGCATTTCATATGATGGTTCCATTCTAAGTTAATGGTGTCAGAGTTCTTCTCGATGTATGAATTGACAGATCCGTCATCGATGTTCTCGTACGATTTCTTAGCTATTTCAGCTTGTTGACATTTAAGTTTGGCCCATTTTGACCTACACTCAAGAAATTTCTTAAGCCTTTGGCGTGTAACTTTGCAAAGTTGCTCCGTAACGCTCAAAATGCATAAAACATGAGGATATTCGAGTTTTATAAATATCTTCAGCCATGTTTATTTGCATAACTGAGCGTATTTTCACTTCGAAGCATGTGCGTTGGTTGTGCGCGTGCGCAGTGCGAGTTTGGCTGAGTTGCGCATGCGTATTTGCTATCAAAACAATGGCGGTTCGAATATTTCGAAGCGCGAAAATATTAAACTTTGGAGGGATTTTTCTCCCAATTGTGCACCTGTTTCGCTTGGGGAGCAATGGATTCTGATAAAGTAAGTTTTTATCTATTTATTCATGTGAAAATTACGTAGTTCCACGAGGGGTGCAACGGAATCCGTTTTCTAAGCATCTTTTGGATGCTCATCCCACGGCCTATATGTACTGGAATAAATGCGTGTAAAGATGTCATATTTTCAAATATCGCCATAAACATATGAACAGAGACAGTAGTGTCGTGAGCAGTCATTTTCATACGGCAGGATGACAATCGCATGCGACTAGGCGTATAGTAAAAATTGCCCTAAATCGCCTTCAGCAATCTAGATATAACACTGTATATTAAATTCAGTCAATTACGTATTCATGTGAGGGGGCAGGGTAGGCACTTTGCCTCGACGCTTGGGTCACAGCTATTATATAATTTTATAACTATAAAATACACATTAAAATTATAGTTACATATATTATATGTAACTATAACTTTAATGTGTATTTTTAGTAAAAGATTCCAAATTTTTTATAAAAAAGGGGCTTTTTTAAATGTTAAAACATTTCTTGATACATGATTGCTGAGATATTATCCGTTACTGTCGGATAATATGCAATAAAGTCTAAAATTCGCCTCTTCTGTTAAAACGTACTTAAAAATAGGTACGCGACGCGTACATGTATCTGCGAAAAAACTTGATTCACATTTTCATCACTTATTATAATAAATATAAAAGCAAATAAGATTTTAAAGTCAAACATAGTACAAATCTAACAAGGCTATAGACAGCACCACAGAATAAGAAGGTACAGCAGAAGTGTAACTCAAGCAAGTATTTGTCCGCGTTTTTACAAGTGATTGGTCATCAATCATGTCATCCTGGCTAGTACAACCGGCACTTTGCACCTACCAAAACCTTGTACTAGCCAGGATGGTGTGAGTGAGTTAAAATTTTTGTGGACGTAAAACAATAAGGAAACCGACTCAAGTTACACTTCTGCTGTACCTTCTTATTCTGTGACAGTACGGAGGGCAGCAGGGGCAACTCCCCCCCCCCCCCCCCCCCCCCCCCGGGA